TGCCCCTTGCCCCCCAGCCCAGGCTCTGTGGCTATCAGCAGCTACCCGGAACCTGGACCAGCTGCAGCCTCCCGGCTGCAGCTGACCCAGGTTCTGGGCAGCTGCTGATAGCCATGGGGCCCAGGCTGCTTGCAGCAGGGCTTTTATCCTCCCAGCCGGCCGCTGGGAGCAGCCCAAGCTCCGTGGTTGTCAGCAACTACCTCGAACCTAGGCTGGCTACAGCCAGGAGGCTGCAAACAGCTGCTGCCTCCCCACCCCCATCTCTCTCCTGGCCCTGGGCTTTGGGAAGACAGCAGGTGATGGCACTGTGCCCATCAGGGTGGGCCATGGGCAGCATAGGGCTGGGGCTGGGGTCCACTGGCAACATGGAGCTGGGGCCGAGGAGCGCGCAGGGCTGGGGCTGGGGCCCATGGACAACAGGGGGCTGGACCCTGGCTGTGGGCAGCACAGGACTGGGGCTTGGGTCAGGGCCCATTGGCAGCACAGGGCTGGGGCTGCAGCCAGGCCATTGCCAGTGCCGGGATGGGGCCGGCAGCAGCACCAGGCTGAGGCTGGGGCTGCGCAGGGCTGGAGTGGGCGGTGGCAGTGGTGGTAGCGGCAGCACTAGGATGGGGCCGGGTCCCGCATGGGTTGGTAATGCTGCTGACAACCCTGGCCTGGCAGTGGCACTGTGCTGGGGCTGGCGGTGGCAGTGGTGAGGGCTGGGGCCAGGCCTGGGCCTGCCAGCAGCTGGCACCACCTCCACGGCTGGAGCCTGGGCCTGGCTGCCGGGGCAGCTGGCAGCATCACAATGGGGTCAAGGCATGAGCGGGGCCCCAGCTCCGGCCCCATCCCAGCACTGCCGACAGTCCTGGCCTGGGAGCGGCATTAGGCTGGGGCAGTTGGTGACCATGGTGCCAGCAAGGGCTGAGCTCACCAGCAGCACGTGGCCAAGGCCCACACCCCCGCGTACTCATGTACACAGCCCCATCCTGGCATTGCCGATTGCCCCGGCCCACGCTGCTGGCGAGCCTGGCCCCGGCTGGTGCCACCGCCTGCCCCAGTTTAGCGCTGCTGCCAGGCCAGGCGGTGGCAATGGTGCCGGCTGGGGCTGTCGGCAGTGCTGGGATGGGGCCGGGCCCTGTGCGGGCCCCAGCCCAGGCCCCATCCTGATGCTGCTGATGGCCCCGGCCTGGCAGTGGAATTGGGTTGGGGTCAGTGGCGGTGAGGGCTGGGGCCGGGCCCGCCGGCAGCATGGGCCAGGGCCATAGACAGTGCCAGGGCCAGGGCCGGGGCCATGGTCCTGTTCAGGCCCTAGCCCCATCCTGGCGCTGCTGACTGCCTTGGCAGCCAGCTGGAGCCGGGTTGGGCCCAGGCCCCAGCCATGGTGGTGGTGCCAGGTGCGAGCGGGCCTGGCCCCAGCCCTCACCACTGCTGCCACCAGCCCCAGCACAGTGCTGCTGGGAAGTGGGACAATGAGCTTTCTCCCAGA